TAGTAGTAGATAAGTAGATAAAGTCAAATGGAGCGTCACGAGTGTTCTTCCCTTACCATCAAAAGCGAGCAGTGTCGGTAAGCGTAGGTAAGCCACCACCGTCAACTGACGCATGGTATTACCATCACGAGTACGTGAGCCACCAACGGCGACTGGTAGATGGTACCGCCGTCGCCAGTACGCGAGTCCCTCCCAGAAATTCGTTGCGCCGCCCTTGGGGACAAAAAACGGTGAAAGCTAACGTACGAAACCAGAGGGCAGCACAGGATGCAATCGCACGATCCTGCCCGTGAGCAATCTCCCAACTCATCTCTGTAGTTAATCGGTAAGCTGTCACTTACTATCATCAACGGGGGTAACGAAGATTCCCTAGGATTGTGTTCAATACTTATTTAGTTCTTGTAAAGATGTCAAACGATCGAGAAGTATTGAGAGAAATATGGGAAGGCAAAATACCGGTGTGCTTTCAACTGGACTCTGAGGAGGTCTGCGAACTGCAAGCTCCTGATTCCTTTTACCTTATGGTATCTAGGTTAAGTTATTTTCCTGTTTGCACGGATAAGGTACAATTTCATTTTATCCCTATTGGCTCTAAGATCGTTAAAAGAGTGTCGACCCTTTTTTAATTATCTAATTTCTGTTCAAGGTTCGGAAGCATTTCTTGAGGCATATACAACAGGATAAACAAGAGAACGAAATGTGGTTAGAGTTTAATGGTATTCCATTGAAATGGCACTTCCCTATCGGTGTGCTTTTGGATCTTTACTCAAACGACATGCAACTACCATGGAACATCATTGTCCACTTTGAAAAGTTCCCGGAGAATGTCCTGATGCATTGTCGAAACAAGTACGATAGCTGGCTTTTGCATATGCGTTATTTATCGGTCAAGTAGAAATGGATTTATAAGAACTAACTTTTAGAGACGTTGTAGAGGCTTACTTCCTGTCGTGCGTGAAGGAGGCTGACACATTGAAGCATAGGGGCCAGATTATGTCGAGTATGCAGAAGAAAGATCACACACAATTGTGGCATGGATTGATTAACGATAAATTCGATCAGTTTTGGGCCATTAATCGGCGCTTGATGGAGCCTAATAGTCACGAGGAAGGGTTTAAGTACATACCGTTCCGTTGCTATACTAGCGAAGACAAATATGTTCAAAAACTGGTAAAACCTGTCGACGAGGATGGCCACAGGAAAACGTTAAAACATTTACTGGCTGAGGTGTTTCCAGACATGGAACAAGGTATCTTTTAGAAAAGAAAATTTTTATTGTTTTAGTGATCTTCAAATATAATAATTCATTTCTTCATCTTACAGTTACCGTTCGTACTCATGGTATCGTTCCACCTTTAGAGACGCCGATACAATGGATGTCGGAGCACCTTAGTTATCCAGATAACTTCTTACATCTTTGTGTCGTTACATCATAACGAAGCGAGAAAAGTGAGGAAGCTTGTGTATGAAATCATTGAGATTCTACTTCCGTAAGGAAGATTTTTAAAGACAGCACGCTATACTATTCTGTTGAGGTTAGCTTGAGATTTTATAGTTTATCAAAAAGCAGATATCAAAATTCGTTATCTTGTGATATTTCTTTCGTTGTAATTCACACTACTGATATCTTTTTGACAGTGGATACCCATTTTTGCATCCAAGTTAAGATGTTATAAATTTATGTAGTCCATTACATAATTATTAATTAATTAATGACTTCCAAAGAATTAGGGAAATTGGCTTATCACTAAAAAGCGACCGCTGGCAGGAAGTTTGTTTAAAAAGTGTATCCAGATAAAATTAAGCTGCGGTTCAAGACCCAATTAACAAACAGTGCAAGGACATATAAGAGTTTAGTGACGTAAGGTATTATTATATTTAAGTAATTTTATATTTACGTAGCCATACTCTAATCTTCGTCTAAAGTGTGTATAAAGTGATTAATTTCCCGCGAGAGATGTAAGGATTAATTTCCCATGTCATGAATAACATTCTTTCCCTCTAGCACGAGAATTACAAAACCAAGGTGGTTTTGGCGACAGATATTTTTTCGTTCTCGGAGCAGCATCCTCCTTTTCGATCGCGTTCATGAGTTCAAGAAGCAAGACGGTTTTATAATTAGCCCCGTGACGAAAAGCAAGAAGAATCGCCAGTCCATTAGGGTTTTAAAAGAAACTCTTGTCTCCTACCGATCGAGCCGTAAATACTTTGGCTCGCGCGCCGTCGTCGAAATTTCCCAAAATTCAGGAGGCCCCAACATGAACCATTTAACACTTAACTTAGCCAACGAAAATATCGCGATATCGTCTTGCGTTTGTTAAAAGAACGAAAGGAAATGTGACATTCGTAACGGATCGAAAACGACGCTCTTCCGGTAGCCTTCGATGTGTGAATCGAGAATGTAGCCAGGCGGGCTGGCGCCAATCCAAAAACTTTTCGGTATTCCTTTCGAATTTCCGGGGAGGCAGTAGAAGAGAGGGAATTCGTGAATACTTTTGGCAAGGCGGCGAGAGGTGCTGGGAAAATAAAATCGTCAACAACTGAACTGAAGCCGCCTCGAAATCACTCCTGACCTCCACCGTTGGAACAGGAATTACTGTCACGATTACCTTAAACTGAAAAAAATGGATTATGTACTATTATATAAAGACGCGAGATTGTACGTTTCTATGTTTACGGTAATCTCGAAATTTATAGATTTTTATTAGTACATTCCTTGGAAGGAGCATAGTTTTATTATTCTTTTGCAATGGTTTATTTTATTTTAGAACGTTAATTTTGAGGTCTGTGGTCTCAGAATCTTACTATGAACTTTCAAGTACCTGTGCAATTGAAATTATAAAGAAACATGTAAGGTCAAACTTCGATTCTTCAATGGGGACTAATATTTACAATGAATTCACGTTTCACATCAGTAAAGAGCGTTACTGTTCGCAACCTTCGTAGTTTTTTTTTTTTTATATATATATATAATAATCAGTCATTTTTGTGAAAAGTTCAAGTTTGCGATGGCATCAGTCTCGAAGTATGCGGCCTCGTGTTTCGGCGACTCCTACGAAATCGTCCGCTCGTTCGAGGTAGGTACTTAAGATGGCGCATCTCGCCGCGGCGTGCACGGATCATATTCAAATGATCTCTAGGAACGATCTCGTGCTTGCCGTTCTCTCGCGCGCCTTTCCGTTCCAGCCTTGGCGCGTTCGCGCAGCGATCGGCCAATAATTATCGGGGCTAATAAATCGGGGCAAACGAGTGGTGCGCCTCCTAGCGGGGAAAATGGTTCATTAGCGGCGCGGTATCTTCCCGAATCGCATCGGAAGAGGCCCGTTTATTGGCTCTGATTGAGGCGTTGCATCAGCCCGATTCAAGGCCCTGCATCTCGCTCGCAGGGTGGCCTCAATAAAAATGGAGCGGCGCGATTACTGATTACTGGCGAGGGCTTTCAATGGAATCATCGGAACCCCGTTCGTGCCTGTTATCCTCAATTTTAACATCGCTCGGTCAAATTACCCGCCGACGGTGCGCACATTGTCCCCCGACTGCTGAATACTTCCGATGTCCCTTAACTCCAGGAAACCTGAACATAACCTCAACGGTAATGTAACGGAAATAAAAGGTGCGCAAAGTAATGCCATTAATTGCAGGGAAATGGATCGTACATCGGAGGGATATTCTACTTTGAAGCAGCGAGGATGAACACATATTTAGGATAGACAATATCGACGTTAAGGTGATGTGAAAGTGGCGGTCAAGGAAGTTTCGTTTATGACTTTCCTGTTAACTGGATATACCGAATGGTTTCAGACTTTACAATATGAATACGGAGACTATAAGGAAGGTCCTGATCCCCCATGAAAGTTCGGATTCATGAAAAATTGAACCGTCGGATGCCACTTTTATGTTCCCTTAAGAATGAGGTTGTAAATATACGTAGGTTGAAGGAAGATATATTTGACTTTTTACTGTTACGCGGGTTTTGGAATGCGTGGGTTACGCTCGTTGGTGCGGCGGAAAGAAGAAAATAAAAATGGCGATTTCAAAGCTCGAGCCCTGTCTCGTCGTTAAAGTGCTATTGTGCCTGACGATTACGCGTATCGGGTATTTTTTCACACGTCCGAAACAATACGGCACGCCGCTAATTATGCCCGATTCATGTAACGCGTATTGTGAAAACACCCGGGGGTTTCTTTCCTCACCTCGATTTTAACAGGACGTGTACGTCGCTAAAAGGCCGAGGTGTGTATTGAAATACACTTCGCTCGGTCAGGTTTAATGGCCTGTTAACACGATAAAACTCCAAACCCCGCGGTTCGAAGTCCCGATAACGAAGGTGCGAAGTGCGCGGAAAGTAATATTTTTTTCCCCCTTGCTCGCTGAGACAAAACATTGTAACACTGCACTAGCAGTAAATTAATCCGTCGTGTATAACTTCCCATAAACGGAGGTGTTTTCGATACCTCCTGGGGTTTCGAGCCGAAGTTAAACCGTAAAAAACACTCTGCGTCTCAGACAAGATCATGGACCTCGACCAAGTCTCTTTACTTCAAGCACCACTCATAGGACATTTAATATTTTCAACGACCATTTCTGCTACTAAGAGATACTATCCACTTTTTGACTCGAACTTATTACTTTATTATCGCTTTTCCTTTAATTTAAGATCAGAGCCCAATCCATGAAGGTATTTATAATTCGGCCTATATCTGTATAAGCGTAAAAGGCTAAAGCCTTAAAAAGAACGAATGGAAATTATCATTCGTTTAGGAACCCTCAAGGATCGGAACAAAGGAAATGGTGTAAGAGTAAAGACTCGCAAGACGCTTTAAAATAATCTCTTATATATTTCCTTCGAAATTCGGTAGAATTTTAGGCGATATATCTGTGTGTGTATATATAATATAATACAATAATCTTTTGTCTCTGAGCGTACAAAAGCGACGACAGGCCGTTTCCCGCTCTCTCGCTCTCTCTCACACACGAGGTACATACTCACATTCTCTCGCTTTCTTTCTCTCCTATCTCTGCTCGATGAATCACAATGTCGGACGCACGGCCGACTCTCCGCCGAGAAGATGCACGCGCGTACATAGGTTTCGCACATACCGCGAGGGCGATATGTAATAATACATAAATCTCGGTACACCGAGGGACCGATATGCACGCATACTGCGAGTGCTCCATCCCCCGTTTCGCTATCTCTCTCTCTTCTTCCTCCTCCTCCCCTTCTCCTCGCGCGACCCGTCCGGCCGCGGATCTACGAGCGAGAGAGATAGTCTCTCCCATCTGGAGGGATTCTCTGGGCCGTGGTGGAAAAATACCGAAGCAACAAACTCGGCCGGATTTCAGGCACTTCGATATCTCCGTATCACGCATTTGAAAAGCCCGCCTCGGCCGAGGCTGCGCAGCGAATATGCGCGCGGTGCGTGGCGGGCTTTTCAAAATCAGTCCTTCGACGCGCCCGACGTTACATCACTACAAATGTAAGACCCACGGGCCCCGCAAGCCCGATAACTCTTTCCTCCCTTGAAATTCGTTCGGGGGCAACGAAAAGAAAAGACAGACCGTCGCCATATTGCGACGCAACACTTTCGGGAATAATAAGGAGAAGGCGCGAGAAAACAGCCCCTTTGCATTCCTTCCTCCATTTGAATCGTCTTTACGGTTCAAATCAGGGTGCAGGGTCCATGAACCTACATTACCTCGCAATTACAACCGTGCGTTACGACGACATTAATTGCTAAAACATTTTTGTAAGGCACGATCCGCGCGGTTTCCCGCAGATTGGACACATCGAGGAGGTCGACGTAACTCTAAGAATCCAAAAGTGGGAGACCTCCGCCCGCGTTTAAATATTCGCAGAAGTCCTGGGTAAGTCCTCGAGGAGAGCGTCGTCCGAGATTTTGGCAGCGTTTCCAAAGAATTCCCGATTTTATAGTTCGCGGATTCCTTCTCTGTCTTTTTAATTTTATTTCTTGCTAAGCCTCCGCGACGCCTCCCTCGAGCAAGACCCGGTTGATCTTCCTCTCGGATATATGCTCGGCTTAAATTATCGACAGAACGGTGGACAACGGTACCGCTCGTATGCCTAATGCTTCGTTAATAGACTCTTGGGGCATACAAGCGCGGCCATCTTGCGCTCCTCAAAACCCCCGCCGCCATTATGCTCGCTCCCACTTTCACCTCGGCCGGTCCGCGCTATTGTGTAAACATTATGGCATTATGTAATATTACGACTTATACGATTAACGCTATTCTTTTCCCGGTCTCTTTTAATTGTACATCGTCAAGTTGACCCGCGTCTCTGATAAGGCACTTCGACTGTAAGGCCGTCGCGACACCAACTCGCAGGGTCGAGGTCGCAGCGCGTCGGGCTCCGATAAGAAGCCCCGACGTTTCTTCCGAATATTCCAGATCCATTCTCAAAAAACGACCATCCATTCCCTCCCGCAAACCCCGGGAAAATGAATGACCGCCCTGTAAACCGAATTCTTGCGTTTATTCACGGATTAATATCATCGAGCGGTGTAAACGGTCGACGGTTAAATTTCAAGATGGCGGCGTACTCGTACCCGACAAGGATGCGTAACGTGAGTATCAAACCTTGTTTAAAAACACGTGGGGATGTTTCAAACAACCCGAATATTAAGTTTCGAATTATATATGTTGTATATTTCAAGGGTGAGTGGTGTCGCACGGCCGTGTCGATTTCTTTTAAATCGGCTTCGAATCCTCATGCTTGAAGTGCGAAAATCGACCGACGTTAAAGGCCCCTGGTATTCCTCCCTCGTGATAAGAGTCTAACCTCGCTACGATCGCCTATTAACTAGAGTCCTAAGTAGACCTAAGGTAATGTACAATTATGTCCCTGTATGATTTATCCTGCGGATACGTTAATAAAAACGATGAGAGACGACCACGCTCGGCCGAAATTCGTAACAGCGTTTAAGGCACGAGTTTCTTGAGTCTACCTGTTTCATTATCTCTATTATTATCAACCTTCCTTGACTATCGACATCGACATTGGGTTTGAGTTAGCCGCGCCCTCCCTCCGAGGGCGCGTCTTTACATCTGGATATACATATAGATATAGATTTATGTACACGTATATGTATGTACGAGCACCGTATGTGGAATTGACTTGTTGATTGCAGCTTCGTATAAAGTCCCATCGGAGGACTCGGGGCGAATTACGGTAGAAAAAATAGACCGACCCAGTTCCCGCCAGAGACTGATCCTCGAAATCGAATGATCCGGCCGAGCGCGATGACTCGGCGCGATTTTACAGCTAGATTGTACACGTAACGAGCACCGAACACGGAATTGACTCGCTTATCGACAAATGTTGTACAGAAAATATGCAGACTCGACCTAGTGTTCGCCAAAATCCAGATGGAAATCGCTGTCGTTCTTCTCTTGCGACTACCGGAAAACCAAGATGGCCGCCGTATCTGGCATCGGGTTCTTATTACTAGATCCAAGGTCCTTAAACTTCAGCGAAGACTCGATTCGAGACTCGACATCCCTTATTTCACTCCCGAGGACGTTTTCTAACATTCGATTATCCGATTATCCGCAAAGAGTTTAATATTAAACGCGAGCGAATCTTCCGAGTCGCGACCTCGTTACAGGTCCGCCATTTTGCGCGCAACTTTGAAGACAGGTCCGTGGAAAACCGGCCACGGATCATCTGCCTCGATTTATTTCTCGTAAACGATCACTAGGCTTGAACGATCGTCAATTGACAAACGGAGCGTTAATTCGTGACCCGGGAAAAAATGATTACTGGTACAGAGGACTCTGATAATCGGTTAGAAGTCGCGTTTGCGGATCGTCGACGGGTAAACGGGATGGTCGAGACTGCTCGATGCAAATTTCGTTTGGATAGATAAGTGCCCGGGTCTGGATGGCAGTGTCCCGAGATCCGACTGCTTCCTCCCGTAAGCGGGGGAAGGCGCACTTGCCTACGAGGCACGGTTACCGACTATTTACAATTATTTACAGTACGGCAAGTGCGCCCGCCAGTCGGCCGGCGTCCACCTTTTGGCAAAATGGCCCGGCCACTCTGACAAGGAAGGTATCCCAGGTCGATCTCCCCGATTTGGTTTCTTTTATAACATGTTATAGTAAACTAAAAACTAAGCGACACGTATTTTTTTTAATCTGTCATTAAACCCTTTAAGGGGGTGAAACCACCATCCAAAGTAAGGCATGTCAAGGGGCGATTTGGCAGTTTCACCCGCAAGAACATAATATTTTTTAACCAGTCCACCTGGAAAAGCTTTCTCATAACGAGAAATAAAATATATAATTTTTTTAATTAAAATAAATAAGTAAGGGGTGAGCCACCCCTCACAGGCCTTACTTTGGATGATGGTTTCACCCCCTTAAAGTGTTTAATGGCAAAAAAAATACGTGTCGCTTAGTTTTTAGTCTACTATAACATATTATAAAAGAAATCAAATCGGAGAGATCGACCTGGGATACCTTCCTTGTGAGAGTGGAGCGATCTTCGGTGTCTCGTTCTCGTTTTCAGAGTCCGCGTTTAAGTAGACTACTCGCCCGTCTTGCATAATGGCCGCGCATCGGGGACTTCGCCGTCGGCCACCAGAGTGAGCCTCGCCAGGTCAAAGAGGCAGGAGAAGGCGGCGAGTCACCGCGAATTTGGTTCCGCCGTTTTAAAGGGTCGTTTTAATCCGCATGGAAGTGGTTATACTTGAGCAATATTCAATTCGTCTCGACGCCAGGAAATCGACGCGTAATCGAAATCATCGACTGCCGAAAAGTTGAATTCTCCCCTTGGAAAGTCACTTGCCAATTTGCGTGGATAGGTAAAACGGCGCTCGTTTCGAAGACAAAACAAAAAATAAATAAAATAAATATCTCATATTTCATCCAGTGTTCTGGAGATTCATTAGCGATTTATAGGCTGGGACGTCCCTAACCTCACTTTCGAGCCCCTGGTTTTCATTCGAGCCATGATCGGCGACGATCCCTCCCGCGTTTATCAAAGGACAAATTCAAGCTTGAAAAGTGCCAATCAGGCTTTAAAAAATATATATATCATGTAATAATTATAAAAATCCACCGTCTGAAAAAATTCCAATTTTTCACTAGGACGTCCCTAACCTCATTTCCGAGCGCCTCGTGGTATTCGTTTGAACTATAATCCCTCGCGCATTTATCAAGGGATGAATTCAAGCTTGACAAGTGCCAATCAAGGCTTAGAAAACTAAAAGGAAATATTTCATATAGTAGTTATAAAAATTCTGAGTTATTTTACATTGGCTTGTCCCTAATATCAGCGGCTCAGGGCGTCGTGGTTATCATTCGAGGCGTAACCACTGACGGTCCCTCGCCCGTTTACCAAGGGACATCCCTATGTCGCGATTTCCTGGTCGTCGAAGATCGATTCCCCGCAAATCTGGTCCACGATCGAGCGCGGTTTCGCGGAAGGCCTGCTTAGTTGACGCACTCGGCGGACTCGTTGCACTTCCACGAAGCCCTTCGATTCGTCACGTACCCGGCTCGGTCTGACATAATTTCGTAATTATAGCACGGAGTACGGAGGCGACCTCTAAGCGGCCTAGTCGATAGCGAGGCTCGGGAGCTCTTCTAATCTGGTAGATAAAGCAGCGGGAAGAGAAGAGCCGGAGCTAAAGCCGCGGGGCGAAGAGAGTAACATATAGGGGGAGAGAGAGAGAGGGGGAGGGCGCTAAGAGGAGCCAAGGTGTCGACAATCCAAGATGGACGACTCGACGGTGGTGGCTCTTTCGGTCGCACGGCGTTCCTTTATCAGAGGAGCCCGAGGTCGACCGGGAGTGCTTTATCGCGATCTCGATTTGCTCCCCGGGCTTCTCCTTCCCTCCCTTTATCCGTCACTCTCCGGCCCGATCGGGACGGTCGATAAGAGCGCGCGATATGATCCTACGTGGCGAGGATCACGTACGGCCGATCGAGATTTAAGCCAGCCCTTCGCTCTGGGGTCATTCCTCAGGGTTGAGGCGCCATCTTGGATTTTCCTGGACGCTGATTGGCCGCTGCCCAGGGGTTCTGAGTAACCGACCAATGAGAAGCAAGGTCCATCAGGAGTAGCCAATCAGCCTCCGTTAAAATCCAACATGGCGACCCTCGTTCCTAAAACCACTCGCCACGAACCGGTAGGAGAATGTATATTTAGAACTTTTAGTGCCTTGTATTAATATAACCGAGAATACAACGAGTGATTAAATTCTCCTGGAATTTATGAGAATTTGTGGGAATTGAATTTTTCTTTTCTTTAATGACGTTCAAGTCTCTTTCAATGATTTTAACTAACTACGAGGGATTACTATGCTGCGTGAAAAATTAAGTTGTATTTTTAAAGATGAAAGCTTCGTAAATGTCCAGTACCAGAATTTTTCAACTTCCAATGGACGAGAGACAATTGATCGAGTAACCTAACCTCCTAACCCTTTGGGGCATTTTGGAATTAATACGAGCAAGGAAGTAATCATTAATTAGAAGAGCAGTATTTTAAGCTAAGAAATGCCTTGACTTCGTGAATATAATTTAATACCTTAATAAAGGTAATAAATTATATTAAACATTCTCAGTTCTCTTAGATTCCCTTAAATTCTCTATCTAACATTCTCGGTTAGATTTCTGCCATTTAAATCCTCGAGAATTTAAAAACACTAGGTATATTATCGAAAGGCGTGACTTCAAATTGAAAAAGAGAAAAATCGCCGATTTTGAGGTTAAAGTAGCAAAACTCGAGGTTCCGTGGCGGTGGCGAGGTTAGGAATGGCGAAAGAGTTAATAGTTGCTGATGCAACGTGCGCTCAAGGGCGGATACACCGGATGCCGATGTTACTGGTCGGGCGGTTGTAAGATCTGGAAATATCGAGTGACATCCAGGTTAGCTCAGGATAATCGAGGGCTGAGACAAAGGGTTAAAGCTGTCGGCAGCTTTACGCTACTTTCTCCGAATGCCGAGCTAACCCTGGATAATGCCATTTAATCGTGCCGAGGCCGCGACTCGGTAGCATCGGCAACCATCAACTTTTACCTCAATCAATGCCATTAATAGTCACGGAGATAGTCATCCTACATTTTCGAGAGACAATGGCAACCGTTACGCCGCCAGTTGCGTCTTATCCCGCTTCCGTAGTGGGACGTTGGCGAGTGAATAGCGAAAAGCGCGACGGAGTCCACTATCGCTAGTTGCGATTGGCTACCATAAAAACGTAGGATGATTAGCAGCGTGCAGTAAAACCGGGTAAACCGTTTTCCCCTTGAACGTGGAAACAAAGACCCGAGAGACTGGTTAGAGAGAGACATTTCTCTAAACCGAGGATCGTATCCAAGAAAGTGAAAAATGTCCGACCAAGAGGAAGACCCGGAAGGGTGGCGGCATCGATCTCGCTGATAAGACACCTAGGTGTAATGTGGACTGGCGGGATACCTAACGAAGGCGCTCCTCACTCTGGGAAAGCAGTTGGTGTATGGTTCCATGGGGTCTCCTAGATGGGTCCTCCAGGACACCGGCATCCGGAGGCTGAGCTCCAGGGCGTAGTCGTGTCCCCTGTCCTCGTTTAGATTACAGATACCGTGGCAGTTGTTGTTGTTGGGCAGCGCGTACTCATCCGCAGGCTTGGCGATGGGATTGTCGAGATAGGGCTTGAAGAGAATGGCGTCCTTCTTGGAGGGCGCCGGTGGGACGGCAGGTGGCGTCGGGACGGTGCTGGTTACGGGCTCCACCTGAAGCGGGGACGCCTGGCCGATCCTCTTGGGCTTGACGAGACACAGCGGCGCCTCTTGGGGCGGCAGATCGGACCCTGACGACACCACGTGGACGTCATCCGCGTCGAGGCATATCCTCTTGGGCGAGGGCGCGCCTTCGTAGCAGCAGGAAAGGGTGCAGACCCTCTTCAGCGACGAGCTGACGACTTCCGGGGGTTCGGCGTGGCCAGAGGGGGCCTCCTGGCCATCCCTAGGCGAGTAGCAGTAGAAAACACCGCGGGTCTCCGGATGGCAGGAGCGTCTCCACGAGGGGTCCTGATAGCAGGAGGCCCCGGCATCGGCGCAGCAGGACAGGGTGCACCTGGACGGCACCTCGGTGGAGTCCACGACTTGTTTGTAGTAGCCCAGTCGGCTGGACGAGGTCAGGTCGCAGCAGTAGAGCAGACTTCTTGGCGGCGCAGCAGGGGACGGAGAGTCTACGTCAACGTCCGGTCCACTTCCGGAGACGCTGGTTCTGAGATCCACCGCGGACTCCCCTCCGGATTCCTGAGTCCCAGGTCCCAGCCGCTGCCGGGAGTTCCCTCCTCGCAGCGCGATCTCCCCCCGGAGCTCCGTCTCCTGGCTGAGCCACTTCTGCACCTGGCGCCGGTTAATGCCGAACTTCCTGGCGGTGGCGCGCTGGTTCCCAGCGACACCGACGTCCCGATGGAAGGCGTCGAGGACGTCGAGCTTGAACCTCAGCGAGAAGGAGCGACGTCGCGCCAGGTCGGCAGGATTCGCCGACCCGGACGAGTAGTCCAGAGGATCCATCTCGCTGTCGGAGCTGGTGCTCGACCTGGCGGAGCTCCCGGGCGACAAGGGCGCGGCGTACGCGGCCTCTATGTTGATCTTCGACGCTCCTTGCAAACCTTCCTCCAGAAGAGTCGGGCTATCTGGACTTCTGGGGCTTCCTCGAGGTCCCTCGATGGTAGCTCCTCGACCGACGTCCGAGTCTCCATCCGCCTCCGGGATTCCCCTCTCCCGGTACTCCTCTTCTTCCGCGTGGCGTCGACTAGTCTCCCCGTTCTCGGGCTCGGCCGCACGGCGGCGCGGGGGCTTCTCGGAATCCGCGCTGCTCGGGCCGTGGGTGCGCTCCGGGCTGGCTGGCTCGAAGCGGGCGACCGTCGATGTCGGCAGCGCGACCAGCGTCGGTGTCGTCCCGGCCAGTGTGGGTAGCGTCGGCAGCGTCGGAGCCGGCGGCGAGAAGGGCGCCGGCCCTGGCTCGACCGGCGCTCGTGCGGCCTCGCGCGCTGCGGGCTCGTCGTGCGGCCCTGGCGACGCCGCGGAGTCTGGGCTAGCTGGCTCGGTCTTTATCGCGGGCGTCGCGTCCCCGCCGGCCTCTCGGTACACACGAGCGCCGTTACCGCCGCCGCCATTATTATTATTGCTATCGCTATCGCTAATATAATTACGATGCCGGTGACGATGTCTTGGGCGGCGGCGATGGGCGGCGTCGAGGGCCTCCTCAAGGCAGCCGGCGTAGAACTCCTGCCGGAACTGCGCCAGGGACTGGCGGAAGGCCTCGGTGACCTCGCTGGGCGAGCCGTAGGCGCCAGACGGCGAGGTCGGCTCGAACTTGCGCTCCCGATCGGCGGGGTCGGCGCCGCGGTCGACGTCCTCCTGCAGCGCGGTGCGACTCCGAGGGTCCCGGAAGGGCTGGCCGTACCGGGGCGAGCAGGGGGAGCGCCGCGCGGGGGCCTCGCCCGGGACTGGCGGGGGCCCTTGGCGGGCGGGCGGCTCGTCGCCGTGCAGTCTGGCGAGGCTGAGGTTCAAGGCCGGCGCTGCTGGAGTCACGCCGCCGCCGCCCGCGCCGGCCTCCGCCGCGTCCGGGGAGGGAACGGACGCGGACGACGGCGCCGGCGTCGAGACCGACGTCGTCGCGGGCGTCGAAGGCGCGGTCGCCACGCTGTCCGTGCAGCTGCTCCTCAGGTTCTCCTCGCACTGCAGCCACTTCTGAATCTGCCGACGATGGATCCCGTACTTCCTGGCCGTTGCGCGTTGATTTCCCCGGCAATCGATGTCGTTCCGGTAGGAGTCGAGGACGCGCAGCTTGAAGGCGGGCGCGAAGATGCGCCTGCTGCCCATCGCGCCTACCGTCTTCCTGGAGGGCTGGGGCACCGGGTGCATCGGGTGCCGCGGGGGTACCTGGGGGCCCTGCTGTCGCGGCTGGTGGGGCGCCTGCTGGTGGTGCTTCGCCAGCGTCTTCACGGTGCTCCCCTCGGCGAGCATCTCGCTCACGCCGTGCGCCATCTCAGGGCGGCGATCGCGATCACTGGGCCGACGTCGAGGCGGTCCGCCGGGAGGACCTGGGGCGCGACGCGAGGAGCGAGACTCGAGACCGGGCACTGGCTACGCACGGGGGTACCTTAACGCGTAACATTGCACGGAGTGGCCTGGCCGCGCGGCGCACGGAGTTCCTTTTAGGTCTTGGTAGATGCCGTAACTAATTTTCATCCCCACCACCCGAGGCTGCTCCCCCTGAAACGGTCTCCGCCCCTCTCCGCGCGGCGCGACCCCCCTCCCCGGCCCCTCTACCCGCATCCCGGCCGCCGGCGGAGAATCGGGCGCTACTCGAGCGCCGACCACCAGTCGTTCTTTCTTTGCGCCGCCGACCCGCTCGCCCTCTCTCTCCCGCCTGCGGCGCCCCCCTCTCTCCGTCCCGCTGCGAGGTCGCTCGCGCTCTCTCCCGCCGCTCCCGGCCGGCGGCGTCTCTCCGTCTGGCCCGGCTCGCCCCCCATCGCGCCCTCTCGCTCGCGGCCTGCCTCGCCGCGCGTAGGCGCCCCTCTTTCACACCTCAGCGCCATAAAACTCCGCCATTTTGTGGCCTCACTTCCGTTAATGACGCGCGCGGGAAACGTCACGCCGGCGTGACGCTCGGCGCCATGTTGTCTGCCGCGGCCGTCTGCCCGCCAGCGAGCGAGGATCGAGAGGGCAGAGCCGACTCGACGTCGATTTTTGCTCGCCTTTCTCTCGCACGCTTTTTTCTTATTCCCTCCTTCCTCTCTTCTTTTCCCGGTTCTCTCCTTTTTTTTTCTTTTGCTTTTCTCGGATTCCTTTTTTTTTCCCCCCTCCAAGCCTCGTTTTATTTCATTTCGCTCCGGACGCCAGCCTGCTCGGCGCGATCGAGTACGTAGAATTTATACGCTCCTCTCTGTCCCTCCTCCTGGGACCTTCTTCTTCTTTGCCATCCTCCGTCTCTCTCCGTTCCGGAGTTTCTTGCGCGGTCTCTTTTTACCGCTATCTATTTTCCAACGGGGAAAGGTCACTCGAGTGCTCTTCCACGAAACGCCGAAGAGGACGGCGCAATCTCGGAGATACAAAAGATCGAGGGGCGACGTCCCTTTTAGCGCTACGGTGTAACCGACTTTGCCTTAATTTAAAGCACGCCGGATAAAGCCTTAGTCACTGGCGATAATCTTCGACCTCTAGGCGGTGGACTTCAGTTTGAATTGATTCATCCGTAGAGGTCGGACGCGTAGACACTCGCCAATTACCTTACACGGAATTTTCCTTCCACCTGGAAACGTGCCTTCCGACTAGACTCGAGAAGTTAAAGCGATTTGAAAGGGTCATTCCGTATGTATCAAAACGTGAAACTATAAAACTTTTCTACAAACCGGGGGCACCGAATTATTTGAAACCTTACCCCGTGATTATGCAGATCCTAATTGAAGGTCTTGGACGTAACGAAATTCCATTTTTCGAGAAAAAAAAGAATGTCTCTTTTCGGTTCTCATCCGGAATGAATACGGCAAATATTCAAGTTCCAGGAGTAGGGAATAAAAATATGCTCCCTAGAACCCCATGGATGATGAAGCAAAACCTCTCGAGCCCCAAAAATGAGACGAAACATCATTTAAATTTATCCGATTCCGATGTGAGATGCGGTATGTATCAATCGTAACGGAAAATGTCAGCCATTAGTCGAGTTAGATATAGCAAGTGCAGCCATCGCGCTCCATTTGAAGTAAGCGCCAGCTGTAGCAGGAGTGGCAGCGTCGACCGGTCTGCTGCCACGGAATCCGAGCCCTCGCGAGGGTCACGCTATTCCTATCGGCGTCGGGACGCCTCCCTCGTGGCGGTTATTAAGCGCCGTCGGGTTGGCGAGGTCATAATATTCCGTATTACCGTTCGGTCGTCGAGGTCGGGCCGATGGCTTTGAATGAGCCCGGTGGGCTCGGCACCGGGGACGAGTTTTCTCGTATGTGCGCCTCGCGGAATGAGATCACGTTGTTTTTGTGGCGTGAGCCGACAGTTAATATGTTTAGCTTGGGCGCGTCGTTGCCACTTCTGCACGTAGGCAGCAGCAGCAGCAGCAGTCGCCGCGACGCACGCCCGTTCGCGCGCGAGCGCGCGGCGTGACGCAAGCCAATTCACACACGAGACGAGGGTCCCCAAGCTCTCGTAAAGTTCCACGATTATTCCTGCGGCGGTCTCTTCGGCAAAGTCGGGTCGCGCTCGCGCGTCTGGCGCGCCCCGTGTACATAGCCAGGTCGGCGGGAAAAAGAAGGAGACGCCGCGAGTCGCGCGCCTTCGGAAACACCTGCGGCCCATCGATCTCGCCGCGCCGACCGAGTCATGGCTCGGGCATTCCGGCGTTCCTCCAGCCGTTCGATTCCGATAGGCCGAACCCTTTTCTCCGCGCCTTGCTCCTTTTTCCCCTCTCGGCGGGTTCTCGCCGAAAACGAGGAGAGCCGGAATCCGCGCTCGGCGGCGCGGGGATTTAAGTCGAGCGAGCTTTTTGCGTCGCGTCGATCGGCCAGAATTCATTGATAATCGCGCCTTTCACCCGGCCGCCATGCTCGTGGGTGTGGGTGCCGGAAATCGCGCCAGTGTGCCGTGCACGTACTTTCCGCTAATTCGTCATACGAGGGAGATGGCTGCGATCACGGCGGCTGCTTTCGATCCGTATCGGCGCTCGACTCGCGGACTCTACACGTCCACCCTGTATGCTCGAAGAGATTGTGCCACTCATAATAATATACCGTTGATTTGTTCGTTTACTCCTCTAGGACAAAGTTCGCGGACATAACGCAATCTCAACAAGAAAATACCGGGGGTTCGCGTCTCAAGTATCGAGCGCGTCTTCCCATCGTCCCGATAAATCCCACTTCCAGAACTTCCTCCACAACCTGTTACAGTAAAAACCGAGGGAAGCTCGAAAAATCTGTTCCCGTCCTAACCTGTACAGGCTCGCGTTTCCTAGTACCAGGATCGCTCTCCGCATTCCCCCGGATTCCGTCCGCTCTCGTCTCGTTAGAGAGACGGTCGCTTCCTAGATTCTAAGATCAGTCGTGCCCGAGCGGAAAAGGCTCGGGCGGTAAAAAAGCCGAGTCGGATTCCAAAGATCGAAGCGTGGATCGCGCGTAAGGCCGGCAGCCGAGGCTCGGGTGGGTCGGTAGCGGCGCGCCACGACGGCTGGCACCGTCGGATTTGTCCTTGGGCCGAAGGTAGGCGCAGCGCTCGAGGACGTGGCAACGCCGGGCGGGCTCCCCTCCTTTGTGCGCCGGCCGGTCTTGCCAGACAGGGTGTCGCCAGCTCGGCCGGCCTGGTCGTTCGGGTTCGCAGCGGGCCGGGGGAGCGAGGGGTGGAAGGGCCGGCCGGGGCCCGGGGCGAGGGGGAGGGGGCTCCGGGAATCGGTTGGGCTCGGCTCGGCTCGGGACGGCTCGGGGGGCACGGGCCGCGGGGAGGGGCGCCGCGCGCGCCGCGTCCCGCCGGCCGCAAGGCTGCAGCAGCGCCGCCGAGGGACCGCGCGGCGTTATAGGATCGGTCGAGGACCTACATTCACGAGAGCGGGGAGCCATGTTTGAAAACTCGCGTCCCGCTGGAATGTGGCCTGCGCCGGGGGCCCTTCCCGGACCCCTCCCCTGCCCGCGCCCGCCTACGCTCCCCCGCTCACCCCGCGCCGCTTGGCGCCCCAAATGGTCGCGTAACCAGAGACGCGCCTCTGGCCTGGCCTGGTCGCGCCAGACTTCTCGGCGCCCAAATGATCTACCGTCGAACGATCCTTTCTCTCTCTCTCTTTCGCCTCGAGCCGCGCGCGGAGCCCTCGAGACTCGCTTTGTCCCTCTCTTGCCCTCCTCCGGGCTCTTCCTGCGACCTCCTCGCCGAGTTTCACTCGCGCTCGCTCTCTCGCTCCGTCTCTCTGGACTTCCATGCGTCTGTCCTCTCTTTCTGGACGTATTATGCTCGGGAATCCGGGCCTCCCGTTTGCCGGCCCTTACCTATCTTACCCGCTCCGAGGTGTAGGTGCGAGCAGGTAGGCGCCCAGGGACCTTTTGCCCTAACCGCGGCCACAAGCTGCCACCCGGTGACTAAGCCCGGCGCCGGAATTCATATTCCTGATAGAAGTTTCCCGATCCGATGAAATTGGATCTTCAGTTTTTCATCCGCCCCGACCTGGATGGCTCCTATTGTGAACGGCTCAGGACAGGACGAACGTCCTTTCGAGCTTATCCGACCGGATCCTGGACTTCTAATAATTCCTTTATCTTCCCCCTAATCCTTCCAAATTTTAGATAACCTTCGAAATGAGTCACTCGTTGTTAGTCACTTCCTGCCAAATGTTTTTGGGGGGTCCCTTCATAGCCCTCGACCTTATCGTTCATACAACAGCACGCAGAAAAAGAATTCCCAGTCGTAACGAGAAATTTCATTTTCCGCAATAAATGAGAACTCTTGAAAAGGGGGCCAGCAAAGTTTCGCTCGGAAACGCGAATGCAACCCCGATATCCTTTACTGGCAACAACAAATTGTATATCACTCATTCGCTTGAGTAGAAACAGTATTTTTTTTTACTATTGCAACAAATTCATTTGCTAATTTTACAAGCACTTTTTCTAAAGGTACGTCATTTTTCTTGCTCGTGCGATTATTCCTACAGGAGGAGCGAAACTTTATCAGCAATGCTGTTCTTTGCTTAAAGGGCAAATGTCTTCTTTTTCTTATTCCTTTATCTCGCTTCATCGCGAATCGGTGGAAAACGTCACTTCGGGGGATATATTTGGCATATCGTTCTTGGCGGTCTGATTTTCCCTAGATTTTCGCTGCCGTGCAGGTATCGTTCTGCACCGGGACGTCGCCTTGGGTTGGGAAAAGCGTCGGTAAAAAAGACTCATACGCCTCGCATAGAGCCCCTTGCTCGCGCAAACGACCGCACTCTCTCGACGAGAGTGGCCCACACGTGGGGCCTCGCATACGCCTCTGTTTACAGGGGCTTTACCGAGGTTTACCGAGCGAAGCTCGGTCCCTCGAGGAGACCATTGTACGCAACCGAGTGCGACGCGTGGGCTGCTCGTTACACTTCTATCCGAGCTACTCGTTTGCCCACGGCCGTTCTACCTATACAGAAATATCCGCGGCCGTTCGCACGGCGGCGCCTACTCCGGCGCATACCGAGCCCCAAGTCCGCCATCTCGTATTTAAGGA